GTACATTCGGTACCTCCGTTTTTTCTCCCTCCCCATTTACTATGATACAAACTTGTACTTGGGCTTAAACCCCTCTCACCTACCCGTTTCATTTCTAGTACTCTCCCCTAATCTCTTTTTCCGCTCCCACACACTGTTAATTGACTGACTTTTTCTTTATATATATATATATATATATATATATATATATAAATATATATACCAGCGTCACCGGCACCGCTGTTGCTAGGTCATTCGCATGTTGACGGATCCTGTGAAGGGATGTCGTAATTGTACCCACCTTCAGCCTCTTATCTGAGCATGAACCAAAATCCTGGAAACACCTGAACTTAAGGGGCTTATCATCGGTTACTCCTTCATTCTTGTGTACCGGACGAATCATAAAAGTAATGGGTCATGGGAGCGCCATAGCCCTGGTTCCCAGGAAATCCCAGGAGTTGGAATCATCATCTGTTTGTACCAGCGTAAGCTGTTCCCCGTAAGCCCTCTCAAACCTCTTGCGTATACCTTTCGCCTTAGCAATGCTCACTGGGTTGTGCATGTCACATGCTACAACCAGCATGACATCATCCACTAATCTGACCCCATGTACCAACCGTTGGTCACCACCCAGGGAGCTGAGAAAGTCTACTTCATATTTTGCACACAGCAAGCAGGCCAGTGCAAGACTTGAATTCTTCCCCATCGGGATGCCCACTAACTGCTTGAGAATCACTGCCCTGCAACTGATGTAAGTGTGACTCAACTCCAACCCGACCATTTTCGCGATCAAGGAAAATTTCAGCTCAACATAACCTGGACTTAAGCTTTTCCGATTGAGTACCACGACCCGACCCCTTCTGCTAAGACTCAACTTGTGAACCCCTGCTTTCTCCCACAATTGCAGCAACCAATGAACTACTTGGGCGATTGGTCTATGCGGCAACGACGTAAACATCTCCTTGATATCATAACTCGCTACGAGGACCATCGATCTGTCCCCCAAAACACTGATCTTCCATCCTGCATCATCGAGGTTCTGCTTCAGCATCGCTGTAGCTTTGAGGTTGAAATGTCTCGTCCGTGGGGCTCTCTCCAGCAGGTAATTCAGTGCATGTGCCAATCTCCTCCCTGTTGTTCTTGATCCCTCAGTGCACGCTGATGCTATTGGCCTCCATCTCGTCAGGTCTTTATTTTTAGCTAGGACAAAAGCTTGTCCAAGCTTGGCTGCAGGGTTCCAGGCTCCAATCTCGTCAAGTCCTTGTCTCTTGTATTCTGCTCTCAGCTCTGCTAGCACTTCTGTCTCAGACTTATCTAGGTTCTGCTGGTCGGTTGCATTCAAGCTAAACATCATCTGTAGGCCAAAATGGTATGTCGAGGGACACATAACCACCAAATCACCAGGGTTCCTATCGACAGGTACTACCACTAAGTGATTCATCGTCGCTGCCAGCTTGTTAGCTTGCACTTCAGAGCTCGCTTGCACCGTCCCAACACGGTTGAAGGTACAAGACTCAAAGCAACTACGGTTGGACATCTGCACCAACCCGGGTTCCATAACTGCCATAAGCGAGCATTCGACAACCTGTTGCAACTCCGCTCCGGCATTAACCTTGCCTCCTTGCAAGATATTCTTACCATTATGTAAAGTTGGGGGAACTCCCGGACATTGCGAGATACGAGCTAACACATGTCCATCTTCTCTTGGCAGCTTATCGTTACTGCAATTGCAGAGGACACTGGTAGCTTTAGCCACCTCTCGATGGTTAGCCAAAACTTGTTCAACTGTCTTGTTCTTCTTCCAGACAACTCTCACCCTGTGTCGGAGCACACTCTTCAAAACCGGGTGAATCTTACACTTTTCCACGCATAAGACTACCGTGTCACGGATTTTCCTCTTCCGCAGTTGATGATTGTATTTGACCCCCACGTTCACTTTCAGTCTAACATTCACACCTGTCTTCTTCTTTATCACTGCAGCAATCTTCTCTTTCAAGGTTCTCCTTGTAATTTTCGTCTTGAATTCTCTGGCACACCTGTACAGGTAGACAAACTTGGTAACATCAAAGTACTTCAACTCCGCTTGCTTCCTAGGTAACTCCAAGAGGAGCCGGAGGTAGCCTTTACCACGGCATCTTGCACTCTCTGTCTTCACAATGGGTGCTATACCGAAGGTACCTCCCTTCTCAAGATGCTGTTTCGATCTCACGAGGGAAAACTTCCCCTCGACCGTTACGACAGTTGATGTTCCAAACAGCCTCCGGATAATGGACCATTTCTCACCCGATACCTCACCTCCTGCCGAAACCAACTTCACCTTTCTCTCTCCTATGGACAAAGCGTCCTCTGAAAGCCCTGCAAGGTTAAGTACCTTCGCTCTGATCCTACAAGCAAGAAGGACAACAATCCCGTTCTGTACCCAGGAGCTGTTGTTTTCATCTTCTTTCTCTCTCTCTTTCCTAATCTTGCTTTACCCTTTGTCCCTGCCTTCGTCCCAACTACATTCAACGCTGGTGACAACGTGCTGATGATCGACTTCTCCAACAAGCGCAGTCTATCTCTAGACCCAGCGGCAATCGGAAGAACGAGATACTTTTGCCACCCGTATGCTTTGAAAAAAGCATACAGCTTGGGGGCATGTGCGTTATTACCAGTCTCGGTACAACAAATGTGTTCCCACCACCTTTCCCCTACCCCTCTGATTGACTGTCCCACATACATTCTTTTGCACCATGGTGACAATAAGCAGTACACGGCAGGCCCTCTCAAGTTAAAGTAATCGTGACCACGCGGGGTGATCATGAGAACTTTCGCCGCCCACGGGACTAGGCCGGTTAACACTAGTAAAAGGAAGATCACGATCAGCGCCTGTTTAATTCTAATTCTAAAATTAGTAAGTCCATACGTCCCCCAGACGATCTCTCGGAGCTCCATATATGTAAGGAGCTTACCCCAGAGGTGTCGTGCTGGGAGAGCGCACCGTCAATCTACAATCAGTGTTGTGTCAATTCCTGACAACCTCTCTTCCTTCTTACTCCCATCACTATCAGCACCCGTGAGCCAACCATCATACGCCAATCTCGTCTCCGCTGCAACCAGTTCCTTAACCGCCTGGTTCTTCGTAACGTACTTCACCTTCTTCAACTTACACAGTTGTTTCAGCTCTGGGACACCTTTGGCGTTCAAACTCTCCCTCAGCTCTACGACAAAATCTATCACTCCATCCTTGGAGCAAGAAGCTACAACTCCTTTATTTCTTGCGCCCTCAACCGCAACTTCTTTCCAATTCCTTGAGACCACTGTGCGTCTTTTTGTGATTGGGAGAGCCTCACGCTTATCTGTGTCACCTTACTCCCGCGCATATCCGTCTAAGTTGAGCCTCCTCTTCGGATATGGGAACAGCCCAGCTCCAACCGTCCTTGGTTCGTTGGGGTCGGCACGCTCTAGAAACCGTTGCAAACTGTCATGTAATCTTGCATTTTTCTCCTCAGAAACAGTCAACGTTGCTTTCACATGGTCTCTGATCTTTTCTTCCAGAGCAGTCAGCTGGTTGTTGAACGCTTGTGCTGCCGTTGCTTCAATGATAGCTAGTGTACGCCGTCTTTCCGCCTCCTCCCTTTGTTTTGCTTCCTCCACTCTCTGTTTCTCTTCTTCAAGCAACTTCCTCTCTTGTTCAGCTTTCTTCCTCTCGTCTGCCTCTTGTCTTTGGTTGTCGACGAACAACAATAGCTTATCCATCCTGTCATCTCCAGCATTCACTCTCGGCTGGTAGTTAACTCCCTGCCCGTAACCTCTCGGGCCATAGTTGTCTCGTCCCTGGCTTTGCCACTGCCTCCCATTATTCTTATTCGGACAATCACGTGCAAAATATCCGTATTCGCCACAAGTGTAACACTCCCCGCTCCCTGATCCGACACATGGAGGATAGGGAGGGGGAGGGGGAGTGGGAACACGCGCTGGGGTGTGGACAGGCGTTGTATCATTGGGAGGATACGGGGTTGTCTGCGGATGGTACATAGTGGCAGCGAGTTTGCAGCTGACTATCAGGCTTAGTTCAGTCGTTCCGCGCGCAGCTCCGTTACAGGTCTCGTTCCGCAATACCGAGAGTGCTCTGTTCTGTATTATGGGGCTCTCTTCTAGGCTCACAAACAACCAGATTGGCAAGGACCTATCACTCTCCACCCGATTACCACCAACCCATAATGCCAAGGACAGTATTCAACTACCCCTCATATCTATTTCCCACATTTAGCAGATAAACCTGAACTTGATAGCATCATGCGTGGAGACAACTCAGAGTTCACGACTCAAAATTTGTTCCTACCATCAGGCCTTCGTTTTTGCAACGAATATGTAACTAACTGTCAAGCCTAGTTCAGACGTTCCGTGCATGCTCTTGCAACCAGTCTCGTTCTGCAACGACAGGCATACACTGATCTCAATACATTCGAAGACAATATTCAACTACCCTTTGCGCCAATCTCTCACATTGTGCAGATACAACTGAACACGACAACAACGTACGAGGAAACAGTTCTGAGTTCACCACTCGAAAAACATGACTCAGTTCACATCATCCGGTCATCTTTTCTTCACCGCACAACTTTCAACAACTCAACCGCTTAGCTGCGCAACTGATGTGCTTCGTCCACACTTGTCCACTCGTCTTTCTTCTCGCCTGTACAATAACTAACTGTCAAGCCTTGTTCAGACGTTCCGTGCATGCCCTTGCAACCAGTCTCGTTCTGCAATGATAGGAGTGCGCTGTCCCGTATTATAGGACACACTATTAAGCTCGTAACCAACCAGATCGGTAAGAGAGCTCGCAACAGCCCATCGCTCTCCACACTATTACGATCAACCCAATACAGCCGAAGACAATATTCAACTACCCTTTGCACCAATCTCTCACACTGTGCAGATACGACTGAACACAACAGCAGCGTACGAGGAAACAGTTCTGAGTTCACCACTCGAAAAACTGGACTCAGTTCACATCATCCGGTCATCTTTTTTTCACCACACAGCTTTCACCTACTCAACCGCTTAGCTGCGCAACTGATGTGCTTTGTCCACACTTGTCCAGTCGTCGTTCTTCTCGCCTCTACAACAAATCTTGGCAGTCCAGACTCCGTGTGTTCACCTCATCGACCTTTAACTACCCAAAGGCCGTTTGCGCTCTCACGGAAGTCACGCTAACTTATCTACTTTAACTTTGTTCACTTTCCTCAGCCGTACTCCTGCCTCTCCCTGGCTACGATCACGTTACACTTGTCTCCGCAGCCCCGCACGACATCCACCCCTCCTCTTTAAACGGAAACAACAAATCTTTGTTCCTTCGCGTTCACACTACCTGCTTACACCGGCACCGAGGTGAAGCACTGTTGTTCACATCTCAAGCTACTTTCGTCAACTCGTCATCGCGCCTCACTAACTCACCGTACTACTCTTGGTGCGCGTTCCTTACTGTGAGTGTAACATAGCACAAACCTGGTCAGGGCTCCACTTTATATCCCTGCGCTATTACTCTTCTGCTAATTCTCAACTTCGCAAACTCCCTCCCTTACTTACTTTTTCACTCGCCACTCACCACACTTCCGTCACTTACTTCGCCCTTCCTCTGCTCTCGCTACCTCTCGCCTTTCCAGACCCACTTACCTCCTGACTCGTTCACTCCACAAGCCAACACCACATGCTCGTTGTAGGTGCAACCACCATCACTCGATACCTCGTTTGTTAACTCTTGACTTTGCAAACACCCTGCCTTGCTCTCTCGTTCTCTCGCCACTCACCTCTCCTCCGTCACTTACCACTCTCTTCCTTCCCACTCGCCAATTCTCCCCTTTCCAGATATACTTACCTCCCGACTCGTTCACTTCACAAACCAACGCGACATGCTCGTTGTAGGCGTAACCACCAAGACGAGTACGACCGCTCGTTTGGTTATTGCGCATTCAAGAATTGACGTAGCGAGGCCAACCGCTACGCGTCCATGTTCATAGAGTAGACAACCATAGCTCCTACACAGACTTCCAACTCAACGCACACATTCCCCGACGCATTTCGCTTGGCTGCGCACCAAGACTTCTCAAGGGGCTACCACACTCCCGCATCCACCGTACCACGCCGCCCAGAGCAGAAGAGGACTGTTCTGGTCTTGTCCTCGTATGATATAGTACAGACTGCCTGCACGTCCGCACCTTCATGGCCCGTGCGGCTGTAACTGATTGCTTGACCTTCGACTCGACTCGCTTGCATCGGGCCAAGTACGCACGTACGTGTTTTCCTACCCGACAAAAACCTCACGTGTGCGCTTACGCTCGTTCCATGCATTCAAGAACCCACGTGTACCGGCCTACTGGCGGGGAGCACGCTTCAACACTAGCTTTCAGGGCCTTTCCCTTTTTTCCGTACCTGGCCCGCATTCCTCTCAATAATCATGCCCAGTCTAAAAAGGTCGTGCAATCGTGAACCGGTTTCGACTCTACTGTCCCCGGTGACTCCGTAACAAACTCTACGCTTCTACCGCCAATTGTACATATGCCTCTCACTCCTACTTCCACGTACCTCACAGCGTATGTTGCTGTATCTGGCCGCGTGACCACCAACTCGGCTCACTCGTAATAGTCCAGGTGCACCCTTCCGCGGTTCCTCACTCCAACAACCCAACGTGCACTCCTCTGCTCGCGCCATGTGTTCAAATTTCATGTAAAGCGGACTGCTGGTGGGGCA